CACAGCACCACTTCTGGCTTTTTCTGCTTATGTGGTGCTGAGGAATCGAACCCAGGGCCTCATGCATGCAAGGCAAGCGCTCTACCACTAAGCCACCTTCCCAGCCCAGGCCCCCAACCCCTTTTGGTCTAGGTAAGAACACTGGAGATCAGGACCCTCCTGGGTACCTACCATAGCACCAGAAACTCAACCTCTTTTCAAGCCTGAATTCAGGGATGTTAGTGGTTGGCTCTTCTGTTCATTTCCTCCCAGTGGGCCACGTGGAGGTCTCCTGGTGGCTACTGGAATTCATTCTAGTATATCCAAAAAATATTTGTAAGAACCAGGCATTGGTGGCTCACATCTATAATCCTAGCTACTCAGGAGGCTGAGATCTGAGGATCTCAGTTCAAAGCCAGCCCATTCAAGGAAAGTCCATGAGACTCTCATCTCCAATGAACCACCAGAAAACCGGAAGTGACACTGTGGCTCAAATGCTAGAGCGCCTGCCTTGAGCTGAAGAGCTGAGGGACAAGCGCCCAGGCCCAGAGTTCAAGCCCTAGTACCAGCAACAAGACTATAGGTTTCAGGGTTGGAGGTGATGTGGGAAGCCAGTGACATCATCAACTACCCCTTGGGACTCTCTAGGTAGTGACTGAAGACGGACCCATTTACGAAGATTCAGCCACCCTCTGACTTCCAGCCATGAACATCCCCATTCTCACCAAACACCATTTGTCAAGCCTCTCTTGTGTTTGCTGGGCACTCTTCTGGATATTGTGGGGGAGGGGGATTCCGAAGGGATAAAAGGCCAAGTTCCCTTGCCCTTGAGCAGTTGGTACTCTTAATTTGGGAGCTGACACCCACACCAATGAAGCGGCATAAAAGCAGTAGCAAGGAGTCCTTCCGTAAGTGCGAAACGGCATGGGGTTCCCCCCGAATGTCAGGGCGCTTGAGGGGCTGCTGAATAGCAGGCACCCTGAATGCATGCAGCTACTAGGAAAGGCCTTGTGGCTAGCAGGGTATGGGCCTGGCATGCTTCGAACCCACGGCCTGAGCATGAAGAGGACTGTGGGCTTCGAACCCATGGCCTGAGCATGAAGAGGACTGTGGTCCTCACACCTCATCCATAAGGTGTGCAGGGATTCCAGGGAGGGAGATTGGTGCCCCTGCTGCTAGAATTCTCCTTTTCCTTTGTTTCTTTTCTTTTTGTCAGTCATGGGTCTTGAACTCTAGGCCTGGGCACTGTCCCTGAGCTCTTCAGTTCAAGGCCAGCGCTCTACCACTTGAGCCACAATGCCACTTCCAGTTTGGAGATAAGAGTCTCATGCACTTTCCTGCCTGGGATGGCTTTGAACTGCTATCCTCAGATCTCAACCTGCTGAGTAGCTAGGATGACAGGCGTGAGCCACCAACGCCCAGTTTCATTTTGGTCTTTTTTTGGGGTCAGGAGTGGGACATGACCAAAGCAGCCTGCAAAGCAGGAAGTCCTCAGGGATGGGAAGAAAATGGATTGCATGTCACTGTTTTCCTGATCTCCTCTTCTATTTGATGATGGCTACTACAAATGTCATGGTTCTCTTCTCTTTAGCTAGAACGGGTACTAGGAAAAAGGTTCAGACATTTGTCCGTGTCAAACCCACTGATGACTTTGCTCACGAAATGATCACATATGGAGAAGACAACAAAGTAAGTGGACTGTTTGCTCTCACCGGCCTGGACTTCTCTTTCTCTGTTCATTGTCACCCTGTTTCTGACTGTTCTAAGACCAGGGCAGAATTGTTGGACTCTGGTCCATCAAATCCCAAACATGCCTACAGAAAGAAATTCAGGAGGTTCTCATTTTTAATTGCTTTTTGTTTTTGTTTTGTTTTAACAAGTTTCCTCCTTTTTTTTTTTCCGGTCATGAGGCTTGATCTCTGGGCCTGGTGCTGTCCCTGAGCTCTTCAGCTCAAGGCTAACGCTCTTCCACTTGAGCCACAGTGCCACTTCTCGTTTTTTTAGTGGTTAATTGGAGATAAGAATCTCATCGACTTTCCTTCAGTGGGCTGGCTTTGAACCGAGATCCTCAGATCTCAGCCGCTAGGATGACAGGTATTAGCCACCAGCACCCAGCTTTTTTTTTTTTTCTTTTTCTTTTTAATCCACTCTGGTCCTGGAGTTTGAACTAAGGGCCTTGTGCTTGTTAGGTAGACACTCTTACATTTGAGCCACACTCCAATCTTTCAGTTGCCTCTGTGTATGCTTCTGGTACCAAGGCTACAATTCAGGGCCTTGCACTTTTGCTCAGTTTTTTTTTTTTGGTGTTGGTCCTGGGGCTTTTAACTCAGGGCCTGGGCACTGTCCTGGAGCTTTTGTGCTCAAACCTAATGCTTTACCACTTAAGCCACAGCTCTACTTCTGGCTTTTTTGGTAGTTAATTGGAGATAAGAGTCTCTCAGACTTTCCTGCCTGAGTTGGCTTTGAACTGCAATACTCAGATCTCAGCTCAGCTTTTTCAGTCAAGACTGGTGATTTACCATTTGAGTCATGCTTCCACTCCAGCTTTTTGGTAGCTAATTGGACAGTAGTCTCTTGGATTTGGATTCTCATCTGTCCAGGGCTCTCCTGTGTTTCTCAAATATCAGCTTATTATAGACCTGATGTGTCTTCGAACAGGTTTTGGTGATTTATTTATTATTTTATTTTTTACTGTGAAAATACTGTACAGAGGGGTTACAATTACATGGGCAAGGTAAAGAGTACATTTCTTATCAATCATTGTTGCCTCCTCCTTTGTTTCCCTTTACCATCCCTTCCCATCTCCCACAGACCACTTCAGTTTTTCTAGTGCTTTATTGGAGATAAGAGTCTCACGGACTTTCCTGCCCAGGCTGGCTTTGAACCATGATCCTTAGCCTCCTGAATAGCTAGGATTACAGGCGTGAGCCACTGGCACCTGGCATTGATTATTTTCTTATTTAAATATTTTTAATTGTAAAGATACTGTACAGAGGGGTTACAGTTACATGAGCATGTTTTCTGAAAAGATCTCTCTCTCACACACACACACACACACACACACAATCTCTCTTCCCCTTTCCCCTTTTTTTCTAGTGTTTCCCCACTCTTTTCTTTCTTCTTCTTATTTTTTATTACTTATTTATTTTTGTTAGTTGTGAGGCTTGAACTGAGCTCCTGGGCACTGTCCCTGAGCTGCTTTTGCTCAAGGCCAGCAGTCTACCACTTGACCTACTGCGCCACTTCCAGCTTTCACTGTGTATGTGGTACTGGGGAATCAAACTCAGGGAGGGCTTCATGCGTGCTAGGCAAGCACTCTACCACTAAGCCACATTCCCAGTCCCTCTTTCTTATTTTGGAGACAGGGTCTTGCTAAGTAGCCTAGGCTGATCTTGAATTCAAGATCTTCCTGCCTCAGCTTCCCTCATGCTGGTATTATAGTCTAGTACCACTATATCTGGCCTCTCTCTCTTTTTTTCTAGAGCATTGATATTCACTTTAAAAAAGACATTCGGAGAGGAGTTGTCAACAACCAGCAGACAGATTGGTCATTCAAGCTAGATGGAGTTCTGCATGATGCCTCCCAGGACTTGGTTTATGAGACCGTTGCAAGGGATGTGATTTCTCAGGCCTTTGATGGCTATAATGGTAATTGCGTTAATTAACTATTGCTTTATCTAAGACTTTGAGGTCTTAGATAAACCTTGGAGGAAGAGTTACAAGTATCTTTTTGTTGTTGATGGTGGTCAAGGGGCTTGAATTCAGGGTCTAGGCACTGTTCCTGAGCTCTGAATCTTCCACCAGTTGGAGCCACAACCCCAGTTCCAAGTTATAGTGTGTGTGTGTGTGTGTGTGTGAGTGTGTTTGTGTGAGTGTGTGTGTGTGTGTGTGATCCATACCTCCACTTCCAGATTTTGGGTGGTTAACTAGAGACATGAGTCTCTTGGACTTTCCTGCCTGGGCTGGCTTTGAACCATGATCCTCAGGTCTGAGCCTCATCAGTAGCTAGGATTATAGGTTGAGCCACCAGTACCTGGTTTGTTTTGACTATGTCGCTGTTCCCGCCCATTCCCCCTCTTCTATGGTGGAATTCTTTTGTTGTTGTTGTTGTTTTGCCAGTCCTGGGGTTTGAACTCAGAGCCTGGGCACTGTCCCTGAGCTGCTTTTGCTCAAGGCGAGCACTCTACCACTTGATCCACAGAGCCACTTCTGGCTTTTTGTTTATGTGGTACTGAGGAATCGAACCCAGGGTTTCATGCATGCTAGGCAAGCACTCTGACCACTGAGCCACCTGCCCAGCCCCTCTGTGGTGGAATTCTTGATGCTCATATCTACCTTCCCACCAGTGGCTCCTGGATGGCAGCAGACACGCTGGGGATGGGAAAACTGGACCCTGGAGCTTTTGCCCTGGCTGTCACTGCGACACGTTTTGAAATATCCACAGGCACCATCATGTGTTATGGGCAGACGGGAGCTGGGAAGACTTACACCATGATGGGAATCACTGAGAACTTCAAGCACCGCGGGATCCTCCCTCGTGCCCTGCAGCAGGTCGAGAGTGGGTGCATGGGCGGGATACCATAGAGGGGGCACCTCTTCTCTGCCATAGGTGCTGCTGACCTTAGAGATAGTCGGAGCAGGGGGCAGGGGAGGTCCAGTTCTCAAAGACTTGGCAATCAGTACTGGTACCAGAGATGGGACTCCCATGGTTGGGGATTACCCTGGAAACCTAGGTTTCAAGAAATAGGATTTGGGAGCCAGTGGATCACACCTGTCATCCTAGCTACTCAGGAGGTTGAGATCTGAGAATCGCCGCTCAAAGCCAGCCTGGGTAGGAAAGTCCCGTGAGACTTTTGTGTCCATAAACCACCAGAAAACTGGAAGTGGCACTGTGGCTCAAGTGGTAGAGCCCTCGCTTTGAGCTGAAGAGCTGAGGGACAGCGCCCAGACCCTGAGTTCAAGACCCATAACTGACAAAAAAAAGAAAAAAAAAAGAAATAGGATTTAGGCTGGGTGCTGGAGGCTCACATCTGTCATCCTAGTTCCTTAGCAGGCTGAGATATGAGGATCTCAGTTCGAAGCCAGCCAGGCAGGAAAATCTGTGAGACTTTTATCTCTAATTAATCATAGAAAAAGTTGGAAGTGGTGCTGCGGCTCAAGTGGTAGAGTGCTAGCCTTGGAGAACAGGAACTCAGGGACTGCCCAGGTTCAGAGTTCAAGCCCCAGGACTGGTTAAAAACAAACAAACAAAAAAAAGCAAGAAAAGAAATTAGACCAATAAAGAAAAGAAATAACCAGAGGTGAGAAGTGTGTCTCAGTTGGTGCACAGCACTAGCCAAATGAGTAAAAGCATCAGTTACTGAGTTCAAGTCCTGGTCTGGAACGGGAGCAGGGGGAGGGAGGAAGAAAGAAGAGACAGAGAAAGAGGAGAGGGAGAGAGGAGGTGAGAGAGAGAGAGAGGAGATAGAAAAAGAAAAGAGAGAGAGAGAGAGAGAATAAAGGCATAGGAGCTGGATACCAGTGGCTCATGCCTGTAATCTCAGTTACCCAGGAGGCTGAAGACTGCAGTTCAAAGCCAGCCTAGACAGGCAAGTCCATGAGATTCTTTTACTCCAATTAGCCACCCCAAAAACCAAGTCGGTAAATTAATAGGAATCGCTAATGTTTTGCTTTATTTTCTGTCAGTCGTGGAGCTTGAACCCAGGGCTTGGGCACTGCCTCTGAACTCTTTTGCTCAAGGCTAGCACTCTACCACTTGAGCCGCAGCACCACTTCTGGTTTTCCGGTGGTTCATTGGAGATTTGTCTCACGGACTTTTCTTGGACTGGCTTTGAACCACGATCCTCACACCTCAGCCTCCTGAGTTGCTAGCATGACAGGTGTGAGCCACCAGCACATTAGCTTTGTTGCTGCTTTTGTTGACCATTCCACCAGGGTAGACCCGTAAGTCCCTTGAGGACAAAAATTCCCTTACCTTCTTGGATGTCGGTTCTCTCAATGATGTGAGTTAGCTGTTGTGCAATCTCCCATCCAGGTGTTTAAGATGATTGAAGAGCGCCCCACACACGCCATCACCGTGCGCATTTCCTACTTGGAAATCTACAACGAGAACCTGTTTGATCTCCTGTGCACCCTTCCTTACGTTGGACCCTCAGTCACACCAATGTCTGTTGTGGAAAACCCTCAGGGAGTTTTTGTCAAGGGTTTGTCAGTCCACCTTACCAGTCAAGAGGAGGATGCGTTCAACCTTCTTTTTGAGGTGAGATGATCAATTGAAAAGGCCCTTTCCCTCTCTTCTTCTTCCCTCTTCCTCCTGCCCTTCCCTTGTTTTCCCTTTCTTCCTCTCTTCTTTCCCCTCTTTTCCCCTTAAGTGTTTGGTTATGATCGGTCATGGGGCTTGAACTCTGGGCCTGTCCCTGAGCTCTTCAGCTCAAGGTAACGCTCTACCACTTGAACCACAGCACCACTTCTGGTTTTCTTGTGCTTCATTAGAGATAAGAGTCTTAAGGACTTTCCTGCCCAGGCTGGCTTTGAACCACGACCCTCAAATCTCAACCTTCTGAGTAGCTAGGATGACAGATGTGAGCCACCAGCACCCGACTCCCTGTAGGATTTTGGCTTGTTTACTCTGAACTTTTTTTCTACTTAAAATGACACACCATAGTTGGCTGTTGGTAACTCAAAATCATGGAAAGTGAAATTGCAGAGAAGTGATTAATTGCAGCTTAGGAACCACTGTAATATGTGTTCCTTGTAAAAATAAAAACACCTGTAATCCTAGCTACTCAAGAGGCTGAGATCTAAAGACGGTGATTCAAAGCCAGCCTAGGCAAGAAAGTCTCTTATGTCTGATAAGCCACCAAAAAACTAGAAACACAGGTGTGGTTCAAGTAAAAAACATAAGAAATAAAAAACACAAAACACAACACCAGCTTTGAGTGGAAAAAGCTAAGGGATAGCATCCAGCACTGAGTACTGGCATGTGCATGTACACACATGTACACACATGTACACACATGTACACACACACACACACACACACACACACAGTATTTCTCAAGTTATTCAAAAACCTATCAGCATTTTCCTGACCTCCTAATAGTCTCTGGTTGTTGGATGTGCAACTTGATTCCAGTTCAGTATTCATGATGATTCCAGTTCAATATTCACGAACACATTATGGCTCTTGATTCTAATTGTCATCTTAGTGGCGCTGTAGCTCAAGTGGTAGAGCGCTCACCTTGAGTTGAAGAGCTGAGGGACAACGCCCAGGCCCAGAGTTCAAGCCCCACGACCGA